TGAAGAGTGGTGGTCTAGTGGTGGATTGTCCTTCCAACATATGCATATTCAAAGAGGCCTCCATTAGATCTTTTCTCTAAGGTTGTTAAACTAAAAACTGATATAGAGACCAAGCTCTGATACCAATTGTTGGACCCTAGAGGTGGGGGGGTGATTAGGGTCAAGAGGCTAATTATGCAATAAAAATTAAGACAAGCAAACCACAATAAACTGATGCAATCAAAGTAAGTGAGATAGGGTTAGGAATCGTTATCCTTGACGCGCGATGTGTTAACGAGGTTCGGCCCTCTGGCCTACGTCCCCGCTCCCCACTCTCGAGGAGAAATCCACTACACACCCGGTTTGGAAGCCGGAACTTCGTCTACACAGCGATCCCACACGATCTCTGTCACTACACAGTTTGATCTCAACTGATCACACTCCCTCACAGTTGATCTACACAGATCTCACTCACAGCAGAAGGAAACAGCAGACTCTGGGAAGTGAAACACACACAAAAACAGAGAGAAAACACAGAAACCAGATTTTGAAAATTTTTCTCAGGAAACAGCAGACTCTGGTTTTTGCAAACGTTAGGGCATAAGGAAGAAGAAGAAGACTGGGGTTATTTATAGAAGAGATTTAATCAATTTAAGCGCGGTCGACCGATATAGAAATCGAAATTTCGGTCGACCGGCGCGGTCGACCGATATAGAAATCGAAATTTCGGTCGACCGCACCGGTCGACCGACGACTTCTCTGGAAAATACTAACGAGTGGCCATGAGAGCGGTCGACCGGACCGGTCGACCGCTTTATGATATATTGCAGAAAATAGTTTTTTTGACCAACTTGAAATATTTACAAAATATTTATTTGACCTCTAAAAATTCTGAAACTTTGTAAAATGTTTTTAATACTAAAAACAAACTGTTTAGAAAAAGAATTTTGCAGATAGGTCCTCATCCTTATGAAAAATAGTATTTTGTGAAAAACGCTTAAAAACCTAAGTATGAAATCGTGTGTGTGATTCCCAATAGCTTCAAGTAACCTCAGTAACTCTTTGCCTACATTCTAGCACTAGAGAGAAAAAACAAAAGAAAGCTAATATCCTCATATATAAAGAACAATACTTGAGCTTTGATATAGCTTGAATCGGATGAAGCTTGTATTCGAATTTGTCGTTCTTAAAATAACGTTGCTTCATCTCTTGGCCTCCTCCTCCTTTGGATATCATCGTTGTAGCATATATTCCATCCATCCTCCATTAATGGCACTAACGAGCTTGATAAATGAACTTACTATATTTACACTCAATAAGCCATTAGTACCGATAATGGTGGTTGTAAGAACATCATCAAAACATAAGGGCTAACAGCGGATGTGGAAACAATTCTGAAGAAAAGGGCTAGCCGAGCCAACAGAATTGGCGTGGTCAAGGATGTGGTTATGGGAGAGGCAGCCGGTCAAATTGTTCAAATGTCGAGTGCCACAACTGCGGTAAGTATGGGCACTACGCAAAAGAGTGCTATTCAAATGTCGAGTGCTACAACTGTGGCAAGTATGAGGACTACGTAAAAGAGTGCTATTCTGAGAAAAAATAGAAGAAAACGCGAATCTAGTCGCGGAAGAGAAGATAAGTGATGACGGTGTTCTCACGATGGCCTACAAAGACACTACTCCCTACAGCGTCACAATTATGTGGTATCTCAATACCGGCGCTAGTAGTCACATGTGTGGGCACAAACACCTCTTTGTGGAGATGCAAAAGATAGAGGATGGACACATGTCATTTGGAGACGCGTCGAAGGTTCGAGTCAAGGGCCTAGGTAAAATCTGTTTTCTTCAAAAAGATGGTAAAGAAGGGTCAATTGAGGATGTCTATTGTGTGCCCAACTTGAAGAGTAACATCCTTAGCATGGGGAAACTATTGGAGAAGGGATATTCGGTTTTCATGAAAGACCGTATGTTGCACTTGAAGGACAAAAAAGGTCGATTGCTTGCACATGTGGAGATGGCCAAGAATCGAATGTTCAAACCCAACTTGAGAAACGTGCAAGAAAGGTGTTTGCAAGTCAACATGGAGGATAAAGCCTCGCTATGGCACTTTCGGTTCGGACACTTACATTACGGCGGCCTAAAAGAGTTAGCAAACAAGGATATGGTACACAGGCTACCAGAAATGGATTACACCAAGAAATTTTGCGAGGGATGTGTACTCAGCAAACAAGTGAGGAATACTTTTCAAAAGAAGGCTGAATATCGTGCAAGGAGGTCTCTCAAGTTGGTACACACCGACATATGTGGCCCAATCACACCTAAGTCATTCAGTGAGAAGAGGTACTTTATCACTTTTATTGATGATTACACAATAAGACTTGGGTTTATTTTTTGAAAGAAAAATTTGAGGTACTCGAGGTGTTCAAGAAATTCAAGGTATTAGTAGAAAAGATGATCGGTCTTTATATCAAGGCCTTACGGTCAGATAGAGGCGGAGAGTACATGTCAACCACCTTCATGAGCTATTGCAAGGAACAAGGGATCAAGAGATTTTTAACCGCACCCTACTCACCTCAGCAAAACGGTGTGGTCGAGAGGAAAAACTGGACTATTCTTGACATGGTTCAGTCGATGTTGAAGAGCAAAGACATGCCGAAAGAATTTTGGGCAGAAGCCGTACAATGTGCAGTGTATGTGCAAAACCGGCCCCACATGCAAAATTTGTGGATCAAACACCGCAGGAAGCTTGGAGCGGATAGAAACCGACCGTATCACACTTAAAAGTATTTGGTAGTGTGGCCTATGCACACGTACCGGATCAAAGAAGAACCAAACTTGATGATAAGAGCAAGAGGTACGTGTTCATCAGTTATGACGAGAAGACGAAAGCTTACAAGTTATTCGATCCAATTGAAAAGAAGGTGGTTGTGAGTCTAGATGTGCAGGTGAATGAAGAAAGAACATGGGATTGGAACTGCCAAAAGGAGGTGACGCAAAAGGAAGGAAAAGAACCATCAACTGCTGCACAGATAATCACACTGACAACCCTACAAAAATCTGATGATGAAGAAGAGCCGAGACAACCAAGGATGCGAAGTTTGCAAGACTTATACGAATCGACAAGCGAAGTACACTTGGTATGTCTTATGTCAGATGCCAAGAATATTACTTTTGAAGAGGCAGTGAGAGATAAGAAATGGCAAGCCGCGATGGATGAAGAGATAAGGGCTATCAAAAGAAATGAAACTTGGGACTTGGTGGAGTTGCCGGAAGGATATCGGCCTATAGGAGTAAAATGGGTATTAAGAAAAAGATGAATGCCCAAGGTGAGATAGAAAGGTATAAGGCATGGCTAGTAGCAAAGGGCTATAGACAAATGGCGGAGATTGACTATGACGAAGTCTTTGCCCCGGTTGCGAGAATGGAAACAATCCGGCTTTTTATATCCTAAGCGGCACAATTCAAGTGGCTGATCTATCAAATGAATGTAAAATTAGCATTTTTAAATGGTGTGCTTGAAGAGGAAGTATATGTGGAGCAACCACCTGGATACATGAAAGTCGGGAAAGAGAGTAAAGTGTTGAAGTTAAGGAAGGCGCTATATGGGCTGAACCAAGCTCCTCGAGCATGGAACACCTAGATCAACACCTACTTCAAGGAGAACGGGTTCATACAATGTCCCTAAAAGCATGCATTGTACGTGAAGAAAGAAAAATATAACTTGTTGTATGTTGCTCTTTATGTTGATGATCTTATATTCATGGGTAATACTTCCTTGGTCTTGAGGTTAGACAAGGAAAATCTGGAATATTTGTGTCACAAGAGGCAAACAAATAGCAACACCAATGGAACTCGGTACGAAACTCTCTAAGCTTGAGAGAGGAGATCGAGTGGATGCAAAAAAATACCGGAGTTTGGTTGGGAGTCTATGGTATCTCACGTGCACAAGGCCAGACATTGCATATAGTGTCGGCATAGTGAGTCGGTTCATGGAGGAGCAGAAATACTCACATTTGAAGGCTATTAATAGGATTCTTCGATATATCCGAGGAACGGAGTCACTCGGGTTACTTTACTTAGAGACAAATGAATACAAACTAGTGGGTTACTCCGATAGTGATTGGTACAGAGATGTAGATGATCGGAAAAGCACATCGGGATATGTGTTTTATATGGGAGACACGGCTTTCACATGGTTTTCGAAGAAGCAACCAATAGTGGCATTGTCAACATGTGAGGCAAAATATGTTGCAGCATCTTGGTGTGCGCCATGCAATATGGCTAAGAAATTTTCTATACGAGCTAAAACTCAAGCAACACGAGGCAACCGAAATACGAGTCAACAATAAATCGGCAATGGAGTTGGCAAAGAATCCGGTGCACCATGAGAGGAGTAAGCATATAGATGTCCGTTTTTATTTTATTCGGGAACATGTGAAGGAAGGTAATGTGTGAATGAGTCACGTTGCGAGTCGGGACCAAGTGACAGATATATTTACAAAGCTGCTACCAACAATGATGTTCGAAAATTGTAAGATGATGATTGGAATGAAGGATAGAAAATGTTTGAGTTTAAGGGAGGAATTTCTTAAAGAATAAACTCAAACATAGTTAGTTTTTTGAGGCGACATTAAATGAGAAGTTGTAGGGGCAATCATTTGGAGTTCTCTATAATAAGTCATGGCAGTAACGAAGGTCAGAATTAAGTGCTGATGTTTAGAATTCTGTTTTAAGAGTCTATTAATTAATAGAGTTTTATTATGTTAAGAAAAAGTGAAGAGAAGAAAAAATATATATTTAAGAATTAATAGGAAGGCAAATTGTCTTCTTGTTTCTCTTCCTTAAAAGCAATCTGTTTTATCAGCCAAGATGTGCTTGTGATGTATTTTATCATCTCCCTAGAATAGTTCTTTCTATCAATAATTACTTTCTCATATTATTTTTATTTCACGTAGCTCAATCTTTCACTGATCGATGAGAGAAAATTATTTATATGATGTCTATTTATTCCTACATCTGCAGGTCATTGGCCATGAGCTGCCACCCTCTTTTGTCGATGAGCTGCGGGATGTAACCAGAACGTTCTTTAAACTTCCGGTCGAAGAGAAGCAAAAGTACAGCAACTTAAAGAGCGGTGAGTTTGATTTTGAAGGTTATGGAAACGACCTTGTTGCCTCTGAAGATCAAATCTTGGATTGGAATGACCGTCTCTATCTCTTAGTACAACCTGAAGACAAGAGGAAATTAGACTACTGGCCTGAGAATCCAAGCTCTTTTAGGTATAATTCGGTCTGTATCTGTAGAATTCAAGTCATGGGCATTATATGGACGAATATTGCTTGATGTTTGCTTGTTATAGGGAAATGTTGCATGAATATGCCATGAAAACAAGGAAGATAACCGAGATAGTTCTTATCGCATTGGCAAAGATACTGAAATTGGACGAAAACTGCTTCAAGGACCAAGTGGATGATAGAGCTGAAGTGTTTGCAAGATTTAACTATTACCCAAGTTGCTTGAGGCCTGAGCTTGTTCATGGAGTCAAGCCTCATTCTGATGGTTCAGTGATAACCATTTTGTTGCCTGATAAAGAGGTGGAGGGGCTTCAAGTGCTCCAAGATGCAGATTGGGTGAAAATCCCTATTATCCGTGATGCTTTGGTCATCAATATGGGAAATCAAATGGAGGTAATAATCTTATAATGGTATTGAGCTAGCTGATACGTATGACACTAACTTGTATTAGTTAATAATGATTTTGGTCCTTAAACTTAAAAGAAGGGTTTCACATATTGGTCCCTCAGTTCATAATTGAAAATTAGTCCCACAAATCTGATGGAATGAGCACCTCTAGCTTTACAGAGCAATCACCTCACTTCACTTCTTTTCTCACACACTTATTTTCTCTTGTTTTCACTTCTTAACACAAACCCAATGGCAGCAACCCCCTTTTATAGGGTTCAATGTCGGTTTGATTTCTTCCTAAAAATTTCATTTCACTTTCCAAAAACTTCCATGGCTATTTCCAATGAGCTCTAATGACAATTTCCAAATTTTGCTAGAGGGATAGAGAAGCTTCTAGGTTCTTGACTTTGAGAAGCTTCTTGGTTTCTTGAAGTCAGTGTTGCATGACTTCCTAACACTCCCCCTTAGCAGCAAATTTATTGTTTACCGGTCCGAGTAGCTTCTTAAGTTTAAAAAATGATTTTGCCTTCTGTGGCTTGGTAAAGTTGTCAGCAATCTGGTCTTCTGTCCTGCAATATGTCAGCATCACAGTCTTCTTTTTAACTTGATTTCGGATGAAATGATATCTTGTCTCTATGTGTTTGCTCCATCCATGTGCTACCGGATTTTTGGCAAGTGCAATAGCTGACTTGTTGTCGATGAGGATCTCTGTCAGTGCTTCCGGTTGGTGTTGCAGTTCCTTCATCAGACTCTTGAGCCATATTTCTTGACACGCACATGTCGATGCTGCTATGTATTCTGCTTCGCAACTTGATAGATAGACGACATACTGCTTCTTTGATGACCATAAGAATGATGCTGATTCGATATTGAACATGTAGCTAGATGTGCTCTTTCTTTCATCTAAATCTCCACCATAATCGCTGTCAGTGTAGCTGACTAATCTTGAATCTGCACACTGTGTATAAAATAATTCTTGATCAATACTTTCTCGGACATACCTGAGAATTCTCTTGGCTGCCTTGAAGTGCTCTTGCCTTGACTCCTCCATATATCTGCTCACCAGTCCTATCGCGAACACTATGTCTGGCTTGGTGATTGTTAGGTAGCGCAAGCTCCCGACTAAACTCTTGTATGGAGTTGGATCATTAAAGCTTCTTGGTGAGTCTCACCTCTGCTTCACTCCGACTTCTACAGGAGTTGTGACTGGATTGCATTCGCTCATGTTAAACTTTTGGAGGATCTCCTTTGCATACTTTTTCTGAGAGATGAAGATTTCTTTCTCTGATTGCGACTCTTCTACTCTAAGAAAGTATGACATTTCTCCAATGTCAGTCATCTCGAACTCCTTGATCATGTTCTTCTTGAGCTCCTCAAATATTTTTGGATTGTTGCCGGTGAAGATCATGCCATCCACGTAGAGACATACGATCATAATGTCTCCATCCTTCTTCTTGGTATAGAGAGAGTGCTGACACAGACTCTGCTAGAATTCGTTCTTCTAGAAGTATGCATTGATTCTGGCTTTCCACGCCCTGGGTGCATGCTTCAATCCATACAATGCCTTCTTCAGCTTATAAACTTTTTCTTCTTGGTTCTTTACCTCGTACCCTGGTGGCTGCCTGATGTAGACTTCTTCTTTTAGGTAGCCATTAAGAAAAGTTGACTTCACATCCATCTGATAGATCTTCCATCGGTTTTGTGCCCCCAACACAATGATGAGTCGGATGGTGTCAATCCTTGCAACTGGTGCAAATACTTCTTCATAGTTGTTACCTTCTCACTGACTATAGCCTTTTGCTACGAGCCTGGCTTTGTACTTATCGACTTTACCATCTTGATTTTTCTTCGTCTTGTACACCCACTTGACTCCAATGGGTTTATGGCCTTCAGGCAAGATAATGAGCTCCCATATATCATTTCATTTGATTGCCTCGATCTCGTCGTCCATAGCTTTTCTCCATTTGTCTTCTTTTGCAGCTTCATCGTAGCTGACTAGATCACATTCTGCAAATAAGCAGAATAGTGTGTAGTCCTCCATCATTTCGACAGGCTTTGTGTCATCATACAGATCTCTTAAACTTCTCGTCCTACTTATTACTCCCCCTGAAGAGCTTACTTCACTTGAGTTGGATGGTGTTGATGCCGGCGTCAATGTTAGTGTTGATGGAGCTGGACTATTCAGTGGACTTTGATCTGATTCTTCTGTCTCCTGTAAGTCTTCATCATTCTCTTCATAGAACAAACCTTTAATGTTTTTGTCTTCATTGCTCCACCTCCAATAATCTTCTTCGTCAAACTCCACGTCTCTTGAAATGATCATCTTGTTTGTAACTGGATTGTAGAGCTTGTATGCTTTTGTTCTCCTATCGTACCCAACGAATATGCACTTTTCTACTCGATCGTCCAGCTTCTTTCTCTTCTGCTCTGGGATCTGTGCATATGCGATGCACCCAAACACCTTCATGTGGTTGATGCTTGGCTTGGTGTTGCTCCAGGTCTCCAGTGGTGTCTTGAACTTGACACTCTTTGTTGGATAATGGTTGAGGAGGTAAACAACACAATCCATGGCTTCGGCCCAGTAAGTCTTCGCCAGGTACTTACTCTTCAACATCCTTCTGACCATATCAAGAATGGTACGATTCTTGTCTGCTATGCCATTCTATTGTGGTGTGTAGGCAGTAGTGAGTTGATGAATTATCCTGCACTGCTTGTTGAAATTGTTGAATGCCTTCGAAGTGTATTCTCTGTCTCAATCTGATCGGAGCACCTTGATGTGGTACCCACTTTGCTTTTCTACCATCTCCTTGAATTCTTTGAATTTCTCCAGAGCTTTGGATTTCTCGTTCAAGAAGTAAACCCAAGTTTTTCTGCTATAATCATCAATAAATGTGATAAAGTACATGTTTCCTCCAAGAGAGACGACTTCAAATGGTCCTGCAATATATGTGTGGACTAATTATAGCAGCTCTGTTGCTCTTCTTGACTTTCCAACTTCGAAACTTCTTATGTGCTGCTTGCCTCTCATACAACCTTTGCATAGCTGGTTTAGATGGTTTATTTGCGATAATCCTTTCACCATTTTCTCCTTCCATAGAAGGTTCATGCCACCAAATGCAATATGCCTGAATCAAAAATGCCAGAGCCAAGACTCATCCATCATAATCATCTTTAAGCACTTGACAGGATTAGCATGAATATTTTGTAGGATCCTAATGCCACTAGGAAAGAACCCTAGAGGGGGGTGAATAGGTTTATACTAATCTAATCCGATTTAATGCCAATTAAAACTTATTAACAAGTTATCCTAGTAAATAAGATATGCAATGAGTTATTAGCAAGGATAAGTAATATAAACAAGGGTAAACAAAATAGTGAATAATATAAACAAAGAGGCAATGGCTAAATAAGATGAACCAAAATAGTGCACCAATACAAACTCAAACAAGCAATATGATCACAGAGTTCAGACCTTCTGTCCTACGTCTCCGTTCCACACTCTCGTGGAGAAATCCACTATCACACTGGGTTTTTGGCGCTCACCCAAAAACATTTATACCTCACACTCGGTTTTCTAGCTCCCAGAAAACTATACAATCAACATTCTTGCAATCCCACTATATACCCTCTAAGTGTTGGTCTCTATCCCGTGTCTCCCTCAAATACTCGGATTTATAACATCTCCCTAGGATTTACTACCGATGTAACTCCTCTTGGGACGACCCCGTCTCTCACCACACACTCCTCTCGGTGTACAAGTGTATTACAAAGTGTACGTCTCTCACCACACACTCCTCTCGGTGTACAAGTGTATTACAAAGTGTATCCTCACAATGAAAGCTCAATACAATAATTTGTTCTCTACTCTCGGTGTACAAGTGTATTACAAAGTGTATCCTCACAATGAAAGCTCAATACAATAATTTGTTCTCTAGTATTGATAAGAACACAATGAAATCTCACTCTCTAAGACACAAACTCACAACCCCAAATTATACTATGTTTGCAAATACAATAAGCTCAATGGTTGTGTGTGAACAAAGAGAAAATCAAATATAAACTTAATGTAAACACTAGCTTAATGAAGATGACTAACAACAAATAATTAATGCAAAGTTAGTATTGAGTTTAGAAATTCTTCTCAGAAAAACAAGATGGAGAGATAGAGATTGAAGCTCAAACAATGAAGATGATCTCCTCCACTTGTGAAAACTTCTTCACAAACCAAATATACACTAAAACAAACTTAAACCCTTATTAAACTTTGGGAAACTTGTAAAAAATAATTTTCATAGAGAACTCAGAAGTTATGAGGCATGGGGTATATATAGGATCACAAGGGAAACCCCAAAAACCAAGAAAATAAGGCAAAAAACAAAAAAAACCGAAAACAGTACATTCTGGAAAACTAGCCATTAGAGATTGTCAGTCGATTGATGAACAGTATCAGTCGACTGATGAGCTGACCGTTACAGGTAGTTCACAGTTCATCGGTCGACTGAAGACCTCATCAGTCGACTGATAGTTTAACAGTCACAAAAATAGAAACTTTTGATAATTCGAGGCGAGTTCATCGGTCGACTGATCCCTTGCATCAGTTGACTGATCCCTTGCATTAGTCAACTAATAACACAATATCTGCCTGTTATTAATAGTAAAATTAATTTTTAAAGTGTCTTTAAAAATAACAAATAAATTCAGAAAAATGTAAAACTTTAGGGAATGCTTATAAACATGATAATGAACATGTTATAAAAAGAATTTTTCAAATTGCATCTCCGAAATAAGAAATATCTTCATTTTATAAAAATATCCAAAACATGAAAATGTGATATATTTGAAATTTGATGTTTTAACGTAAACCAAAGTTTTGAGAACTCTTGTATGGCTTTATAAACTTGATAAAAGGTATAAACTATTGTTCTTAAGTTTATAAACAAAAAACACAATATATTTCCAAATATAATAGAATATGAAACAAAAGAATATGTATATGAATATAA